AGCAGGACACGATGCAGTCGATGACACCAATCAAGGGATGGCTTGGAATATTTTGCTTTTCAAGAATGTAAAATGGGCCTTGTGGGAATTTGTCGGAAGAAAAAAAAAAAAAAAGGTGCCAGTAACTGTTAAAACCTCAGTGGTAAACAGATAAATTTCTCCCTCCTTTCTTGCCTGCAGTGAGGATGTGAGGAAGAAAAACCACAGATAATAAGGAAAGAGGAGCCCTGGGGACAGCGGAGGTGCTGGTGAGGAGGGAGAGCACTGAGCAGATGAGGAAGCCCCGCCCTCCCTGCACCTGCTCCTGACCCGGCCTCCTGCTCTGTGGGCCCCGCGCGCCCCCTGCTGGTCCTGAGCGGCACCTGCGCCCGCCCCCTCCGCCTCCCTGCAGGGAGGTTTGTGTCTGGGCTCACACTCACCTCCCCTCACTGTGTCTCTCGCACAGTAATACACGGCCGTGTCCGCGGCGGTCACAGAGCTCAGCTTCAGGGAGAACTGGTTCTTGGACGTGTCTATTGAAATGGTGACTCGACTCTTGAGGGACGGGTTGTAGTTGGTGGTCCCATTGATGTACCTATCTGTAAGCAAAGGGAAAGAGAGAGATCCAAAACCCAGAAGCAGGCAAGCTCCTCACCAGCTGGTGTCTGGGCCTTTTGTTTGAACAGATGCAAAAGAACCTGCACTCACCTTCAGGGAAATGATGAACTTCGTATGAAATTGAGATCAATTTTCACTTACAGAGAAGAAAATATTACAGACATGTATATATCTATGTGGGTGTGTACAGGTTTCTAGGATGTGTACAGGTTTCTAGGATGTGCTCATACACAGAAGGAAAGCAATTATATTTGCTGGAAATAAAACCGAAGAGCTCTGAATTTGTAGGTGTTGTTAACCACACACGTGTCAGGTCACTACATCATGTTATAATGCTGGTGGTAAAACCTCCCAACATTGTCATGGAGAGAAAATGCAAAGAAATAAATATTCAGATGAGATCCCTTTGAGAATCACCCATAATGAACAGGTCAAGAGAAATCAACCATCATGGAAAGAGAGATAGTTACATGTACCAGTAAATTCCATGTTGAAGTGAGAGGGAAGTTCCATCTGACAGCTCATTTTCACCTCTGTGAAGACTTCAGAGCACAGACTAAGAGCAGAGGGTGAACTTAGGGCAAGCAGGGGCCAGATGTCTGAGGAGGATGGAGAGTGAGCTGGAGTCTTTGTGAACCATTCAGAGAAGCAGCGGTGTGCCAGGGTGTATTAAGTACTCCAGAGTTAACAGGTGCTGAATAGACACTAGTTTCACTGCCCTCATTTTGCTGTATCCTCAAGACTCTTGGATGTCCAGATTTGAACACTGGAAATGTTGATGAAACTCAACATGACTAGGAATATTTCTGGGAAGATTTATGTAATGATATGAGTGTATTTAAAATTAGGTTATGAAAATTTCATTATCTAAAATGTTGGTGTCAGTATCTATTAATTTGTTGTTCTTTTTTTCTTAGAGACAGGGCCTTGCTCTGTCTCCCAGGCTGAAATGCAGGGGCATCTATGAATTTTGTAGTATAAAAATGATCACCCTGATTAATGTTGCCCTATTATCCCGTTGAGGGATTTAGCTCCACGTGTGCCTGTGACATAGTTCCAGTCACAGATGCGGGAGAGGTGGTCTGTTGAGGCAATTCTTCCTCCTCAGAGGAGAATATAAACGAAGATCTCCTCACTTTGCTTATTCCATTTTCAGAATTGCATATGACCTCTGGGAATGCTGTCGCCATGTCTTACATGATGGGAGTCAACTGTGGCATGAAGGTGGAATGGAGATGTGTAATTTTGGGAAACTACAGAACCTGGGCACATGAAGTTTTGAATTAACTGGGCCTGGAGCCACTCACATCCTGACATCTGGATCAATTGTTCGTCATTTTAAATTCTGGTTATTTAATTCCAGTTCCCTTGATTCTCTTTCTGCTAAAATTGTCATTCATAATCATCTAAATAAATTGGAAAAAAATTACTAATTTGAAAATTAACCCCACTTCTGCTGAGGTCAAAATTAGTTTGTGGTGCACAGAGTGATGGGCATGGACATAGCAGATTACCGAGCCTGAACTCACCGCCTAGGTAATTGTTATGTTTTATTTTAATTAGGAAACACTTCTGTGCATTCCTTATATTTATTAAACTCCCGTTGAGAAACTTCAACTAATGCGATATGTTGATGGATCCTACCCAATAATAAAATGAAAGGTTTTCAAACAGGAGTTCCTATTACCATGTTAGCTTCACTTTAGGACACATTGTCCTACCTCATTTGAAATTGGCCCAGATGCACTGATTAGAGCGTGGCGGTTAAGAAACGACCAGGAAATGAGATCACATGTTTCTGGAGCAGGACATGGCTTTGGGATGCTTTGCAAACTAAGTGGTTTCTCATGTCTTCTGGAAAATCCATTGAAATGGGCAAGTTAAGGACCTGTTAGAAGCACTCTTCCATCCCATATGCTTGAGTAAGGAAAAGGTGGAAGTCAGTGCAGAAAAAGAGGTAACATGAAAGCTAAAGTGAGTGTTGTTCCAGTTCATTGCGCCAAACATGTCATCTTAACCTAGTGTACGATCTTATCTGAACCCTCAGGAGGTAAATTTCCTGAGAGATTCAAAGATGTCTTTATCAAATATCGACACTTAGCCCCTGATTTTAAGTTAAAATAATGGAAAACTCTTGGCAATCTACTTCACTCAGATAATCTGTGTCAGATAGTTTCAAATGAATACTAATTCAATTTCTCTGTTAAACTCTTCTATATGGGATTGCTGAATTGAATACAGTCTTAAATCAACACGTGCGAGAAATTTTAAGACACCTGGGGTTATGTCCTGCTCATGTATAAATCAGTTAAAAACAAAATCCTGGAAAATCTGTGAAGGTGGGACTTGGCAAGGAACCCAGGCTCGGGGGCCTTTGGACACTTTTAGGTGGATTTTCTTCAGCTTCTACTATCCATGGAATTTGGACAAGTTTCATTTACTGTCTGCTGTTTTTCTGAATGACTTGAAGTAATTACTTGACAAAAGCCTACAGCCTTTTCAATTGATAAGCAGATTTTATGTTTTCAATCTGTGGCATGCTGATGTTTTCATCAGGTAACTGAAGCACACCCACTACAGGAAGCAATTGTTACAAAGCGATTCTGTAAGGTGTTTCCATTACTCAAATGCTGAACCGCTATTACCATCCACAATATTCTGCAAATGTTGAAAAAAATGGCATTGCCATGTAGAATTAGTCACAAATTTTAAAACTTTTTCTTATATTTATTCTTTAAATTCATAAGCATGGAATGGTTATTTTTCCATTTATTTGTTTTATCTCTGACATTTTCACCAGTGTTTTGCTGTTTTTCTAGTAGAGATATTTCATCTTATTGGCTTAGCTGTATTCCTAGGTATTCCATCGTCTTGGTGGCTCTTGGGAGAGCAAGTTCTTGATTCCACTCTCAGCCAGAACGTTGTTGGTGAATAGAAATGTTACCGTGATTTTCGTACATTGATGTTGTATCCTGAAACATTCCTAATGTATCAATACTATGAGATTTTGGCAGAGCCTTCAATATGTTCTAGGTATAGAATCATATCATCAGTGAAAGCAGATGGCTTGCATTCTTCTTTTCCTTTTATTTACATGCCTTTTATTTCTTTCTCTTGCCTGATTTGGTAAATACTTCCAGTACTACACTGAAGAGAAGTGGTGAGAGCAGGCATCCTTGTCTTGTTTCTGTTCTTAAGTAAAATAGTTCCAGTGTTTGCCCATTCAGTATGATGTTGGCTGTGGGCTTATCATAGATGGCTCATTAGATTGAGGTGTGCTCGTTCAATATCTATAATTTTGAGGGTTTTTTTCATGAAGGTTGTTAGATTTTATCGAAAGCTTTTTTCCTGCATCTGCTGGGATACTCACATGGTTTTTGCTTTTGATTCTCTTTAGTAGAGAATCATATTTATTGCTTTGCATAGGTTAAACCAGCCTTTCACCTGCAGAATAAAGCCTACTTGGTTGTGGTGTGTTAACTTTCTGATAAACTACTGAATTTGATTTCCTACATTGAGAATTTTGAAGCCGATGATCATGAGAACTATTTGTCTTGAGTTTTCATCTCTTGTTGTGTCTCTGCCATATTTTGGTATAAGGCTGATGCTGGCTTCATAGAATTAGTTGAGAAGGAGTCTCTATGCCTTGATTTTCTTAGAGTAGTTTTGGTAGAACTGGCATCAGTTCTTCTTTGTATGTCTGGTGGAATTCAGCCGTGAATTCATCTTGTCAAGGTTTCTTTTTCTTGGTAGGTTCTTTATTACTGACTCAATTTTAGAAGTTGGTATTGCTCTATTTAGGGTTTCAATCTCTTCCTGATTCAATCCTGGGAGATTTTGTGCTTTCCAAAATTTATTCATTTTCTCCAGATTCTCTAATATGTGTTCATAAAGTAGCCTGAGATTCTGTGTATTCTTCTGGGAGCAGTTGTAATTTCTGATTGTACTTTATTATTTCTGATTGTACTTATTTGGAGCTTCTTTTTCTTTATTTTTCTAAAACCAGCCAGGGGTCTATCAGTCAATCTTCTTTATTTTACAAAGAAGAAACTCTTGGGCTTATTGATATTTCATATGCATTTTTGTATCTGAATTTCATTAAGTTCTTCTCTAATTTTGTTTTTCTCTAATAGCTTTGAGGTTATTTTAGTTCCTTTAGGTGGAAGGTTAAGATTAGTAATTTGAGATCTTTCTAACAACTCCTTGATGAAGTCATTTATGGCTATCAACTTTTGTGGTGCTCAAATAAATTACCAGATTCAATGCTTATTACTATCAAACTACCAATATTATTTTAAAGCATTAGAAGAAATACTATTTTAAAATTTATATGGAATCAAAAAAGAGTTTTTAAAACAAAAGCAATCTTAAGTAACAAGAATATAGTCAAAGGTATCCCACTATAAGACATCAAATTATACTACAAAGCCACAGGAACCAAATAGCTTGGTACCTGTACAAAAACAGACACATAGGCCACTGAAAGAGAATAGAAAATTCTGAAATAAAGTTGCACACCTACAACCATCAGATCATACACCAGCACACTAAAAACAGGCAATGAGGAAATGTATCACTATTTAATAAATGGTGCTGGGATAACTGGTTAGCCATATGCAGAAGATGGAAGCTAGATGGCTACCTCTCACCATTAACAAAAATCAACAAAAAATGGAGTACAAATTTAAGTATAAGACCTCAAACTATAAAAATGTTGGGATACAACCTAAGAAATACTTGTCTAAAAATTGTTTTTGGCAAGAAAATTTTGGCAAAGTCCTCAAGAGCAGTTGAAGCAAGTCAAAATTCTGTCTGTGGTACCTTATAAAACTAAGGAGCTTCTACAGAGCAAAAGAAACTATCAAGAGAGTAAGCAGAGGTCCTTCAGAATGGGAGAGGCTATTCACAAACTATGTATCTGATGAAAGTCCAATATCCAGATTCTATAAGAAATATAAATCAACAAGCAAGAAAAAATAAT